AAAATGGACTCATCAAAAGCCTTTCTACTGCATTGCAAACAAACAAACTAAAAAAACTTAGATGTTTAAATAGCATTGAATTCCATAGTTCTTAGTTTTAGGGTGCTATTATGCAATACAAAGCTTCTTAATCCAAGGAAATTTTTCAAACACTAAGACTTCAAAGTCTTCATTCCAGTGCTTATTCTTTATGGATAAAGGAGTCCTTACACAACAGATTCTCATATGTTACATGTGGATGGCAAAATGAAAAGTCAATACATACAGTATTTTATGAGAATGTATTAGGATGTAAGAAACATCATCACTTAATTATTCTTAAGAATAACTTGCACTCCTATTTAATCATTATGATGATATAAACTCTGATTTTTTTTGGCTAGCTCTTGCCCACAACATACCCCCTACTCCATCTGTATGCAAGCTTGTGCCTCCATAGAATGTGAATTAAAAGAAATATGCCAGATTGTTAGAAATGTAAGCCACCTAACAGTTGGGTTGGAAATATATAAACCAGGATAGACATTTTAATACTGTCTCTTTAAGGGAATGCTAAAATTGTAATTGGGTGTGGTTCCTCAAGCGGCCATAAGATGGAGCCAGAAACCTGGTTTCCCAGACTGTTGCCATTCCTGCATTTCCCTATTGACTGTTACTGATCATCGTTATTCTTGGATTTGATGTGAGTCTTTTACTGAATTGTTTTTGATACTGGACTTTGTTATTGGATTATCCCTGGACTGAAAACTGACTGCTATAACCGTGTATGACTTGGACCGTTTGTTGGACTTTGCTTAACCATTTACTGAAAGTAAAACCTACATTTTACTATACAGTGTAGCTGTGTGCTGTGTGTATGTTATTCAACATTACTCTCACTACATCTCCCTGTGTGCACTCATTCTCCTAATGGGGAATTACCTCAACACAGATTACTTTATTCCTAAAATTAATAGAGTCAGTGTCAAGTGGATTACAAAAGCTTTTGAAGAATGTTTATTATTGTACTGTAATAAATGGACTGAACGTCACTAGCTAAGACTAGAAAAAGAATAATGCAGATACATCACCTTTGGAATGAAATAGCCCTTAAAGTTAACATCCACTGTAGTTGCATGTGGCAAGTTTAAAGGAATGACATCAGCATATCGTTGAACTTCATGGACTACAGCATCTGTGTATGGCATTTTTATTCGGTGTTCAGCTCTTGGCTGAACATATCCAACAATGTTTGTTATTTCTTCTTGGACCTTTTCTGAGATAATATACAATAACATCCAGTAAGATAATCTCATTTTGTTGGTTATGGTGCTAACTCTTGGAAATATACATTTGCAATGGCAGGAGATCCAAATTTTCTCTGGAAATTGAGGAGGCATAATGCATTCACTAGTTCAAATTAAAGAAGATACATGCAGAGAAAAATAAGACAGACGCTTTAATTGTATATATGATTCCTGTCCTTTTTACACATAATACTGTGATATTATGTCCCTGTCTAACCCTAACCCTAACCCTAACTGTCCCTGTCCTATTGTCCCCAATTATTAGTACCTATTTCTTATATTTAAATATGTTTATTCTTATTTATATTGTATTGTAAGCTTTTGACAAAATAAATAAATAAACTCCTCTTCATCTTCCGAGTCCGAGCTAGCCAGTCCTGTTCCAGCAGGCATTGGGGTTCTAAGGTTGCTTAAGTCATTGAGTACCTATGAGGCTTGTTATTGTTTGCTGGGGATTTTAATAATTCTGGTTTGGGTTTGTTGATTTTGTTGTGTTCTGCTTGGAGTTTCTGTTGGTGTTACTGAGATTTACATATTGTAAGCAATATAATAGACTCCAATGATGTCTTGCATCATCATAGTTTTCTAATAACTAATAACATGTATTCACTAAATTCTAGAGCTATACCATTCTTTGAATTTGGTGCCCAAAAGGTGCCCTCGAGCATAGAGAGGGATGGGGGGGAAAGTTCCTTTAAGGCAGGTTCTCCATTTGTGTTACTGCATGATTCAAGTCAGTACACAAAATTGAGGATGGAATTCTTTGTCTTTTTTTGCCTCCTTCACTCAGATATTATTCAAAATCACTTATCTTAGTAACTCCACATTTAACACTATACCTGAAATCAAGATCACTGACATAATGGATGCTGTCAAATTGTAAAGCACTTACTCTGAATTAAAGGGTACTTCATCATTAGAGTAAAGGCCCAAAATAGGGTGCTTGAGACTGTTTCCGTACCAGCCATGAATAGATTTATCACTGACTCTTCTAGATTTTCATGGTGGAAATACCCATTGTTCTGGATCTTCCTTTCCTAGAGTTAAAAAAAAGAACCTGCTTTTAAAATTGATTCTAGACAGGTGCACTCCTGGACACATTGCAAAGAATGTGCAGCCTTCTCTAAAGCAATCTCTAGCTTCACCTAAACAAATCAGCAACTGTCCAGATATTTTTTTAAAAAGCCAAATTTCCACTCTTCCTCAGAGGAAATCTGACTTGTCCAAAAGATATTTAAATGGCCTGCACTAGTAGATGAAAAATGTTTTAAGCTTTTTATATGCAGCTATCTCTTTTTTGTGCAAATTTTCTAAGAATCAAAACAAAAACTTCATCATAATTAAATATAATGCTCCTCAAATGTGTGCCAACTTGTAGGTATTCAAAGTAAATTTTTCTTTATTGATATCCATATAGAGGAAGAATTCCTTAGTATGGGTCCTAACATAATGTTCAAGAAATATATTTAAAAATTATTGTGGATTATTATTTTCCTAGAGTTCTCAATCGCTTGGAAGATTAGGCTAAGTGGTGATCTGTGACTGCAATAATGCTGGTTAGTAGCTATAATACAAAACTTTCAAAAGAAGAATACTGAACACTAGGCAAAGTGAATAAATTGCTCAATATCTGGAGACCTTTGCAAATTTGCCAGCTTTACCTTTTCCTATAATAAGGATTCTTGCCAATTGTGGGTACTTCCATTTGCAAAATTTTATGGAAAACTTCAAGCTGCCATTTTTGCACATTCCATTACCTGTTGCTGTTGGACAAGATATGAATCAATAAAGTTTCTTGTGTCATTTTCATCCAGATTACTGAGAGATTGGATGAAGTTTTCATTGACAAAAGCACTCAATTCCCTTTTGTTCTTCAGGACTTTCTTACGAGCGCCAAAAAGGAAGCCAAGCATGGGAAACATGTTATACAGCTGAAAGATACAAAATAACAGAGATAATAGAGAAGTCACATACCTAGAATATCATTTTGGAAAGACTTTACGAATGATATCTATTTGTATATTACACCAGAAAACATAATATTATAGATAGAGCAATTACAATTCAGAAATAGACGTCCTTTCAGTTTCCTTAAAGATAAGGCTTGCAATATACAGTGTCCAGGAAATTTTTCCACTACAAAATTGGTGGGGAATTTTGGAGGTCCTATCATAGACAGCTTTATTTAATATTATGTTGCTCTCATTAACATATAAAATTTTCATCTGTTTGTTCTTAGTAATTGAAACACATTTGAATTAGATTCTAGTCTTTCTTAACTTCTTCTGTAAATTGACTGGAAAATGGAACCAGAGCTGCACCAAGTTCCCATTGCAAGAAACTTTTGATATAGGATATAAATATTTGACATACCTCTATACATACTTGTATACTCAAGTGGAAGAACAATGGAAATATTGTGCCACTTAAAAAAATATTTTGAATTATCACAAAGTTTTTCGATATTACATTAGATTCTGGATTTTGCAATGAATCCTGAAAAATACACACTGCCTTGCCTACCCTCTAAATGAGCTTCTAATGCTTTTCAGATAAATAATCATTACCTGCATGGTTGGGCTTCCCATAAGCATGGCATTTTCTGTTGCCAAGCTAAATAATTTAATAAATCTTGGATCTTCATAATCATATCGTTTCCCAAGTAAAATGGATACTATGATATTGGCAACAGCTGCAGTCACAATTCTTCTGAATTCAAATGGTTTTCCTGGATAACAAATATGGACTTTCATCGAAATGTTAATACAATATAAAACTATCATAACTATTAACATTGTATTTTCATTGCCTTGATTCTAGCATCAGTTAGCTTCTTTAATCAGAGTTAAAATGTTGCTTTTAAAAAAAAAACTTCTGGAAACATTTATGGACCTTTTGCTGACATTTGGACAGAAACCACAATGAGTTTTGGATTTGTAAATGGATAAGGAGGGGTAGTTATGGGAAGAGGTGAACCATTATGTAATCTCAAAGGGAGTGAGGCATTATTAATTTTCCTGTATTTGTTGCAAGAAATGAGCCCCTTCTTTAAATAATATTTTTTCTAGCTTTGTTTTCTTTTATTTTTTATTCTTCTTCTTGAGAGATTGTTTGTACCTCTTTGATCCTTTTCTCTCTCCTCTTTGCACCTTGTGTTTCTTCTATGTTATATTTTTTCTGATTTGAGTTTTTATAATCTTTTAGCATTGTGAATACCCTTCAATAAAAACTATTTAAAAAGAATTAAAGTTCTGGAAGTCTGGAATATGTCATGCAGGAACCTCAACCCCTTCAAGATAACACAAGACAGAGAAGTTTTTGAACTCCAGAAGAAACACCAACTCACCTTTATAAGATTCAAACTCCTTTACCAGGAAACTGCACTCTTCAGCTATTCTGCTTTCCATGGACCTCTTACCCATCCCATAGTCCCGTAATGTGGTTAACATAAATCGCCTCATCACCCTCCAGTTCTCACCATGGGAAAAAGCTACTCCTGAAAAAAAACAAAGAGTATGCAAAATCAGAGGTGGTATTCAGCAGGTTCTGACCAGTTCTGGAGAACCGGTAGTGGAAATTTTGAGTAGTTTGGAGAACTGGCAAATACCCCCCTCTGACTGGAGATTTTACAGTATCCTTCCCCTGCCACGCCCACCAACCCAGAACCAGTAGGAAAAAAAATTGAATCCCACCACTGTGCAAAACTGATTTTGAAGAAAGGGATGGAAGAAGGATGAAAGGGTTGTAGGGCGTACTATCGTCATCCAGTTGGCTCTTCCATCCCAAGGAACATTCCTTAAATATTCAGTTCAGTTTTTTAATTTTGTTACCTTGGTGTTTGTCTTAGTCAGAAACAACCTTGTCAACTTTAAAATGTGTGTACTTCAACTCCTAGAATTCCCAGACCAGTTCTGTAAGTTGAAATGCACATGTCTTAAAGTTGTTGCATATAGAAACACTGATCTAACTCATGCATGGGAAAGAGCCAAGTAATTCTGCTCAAAAATATCTTGATAATCATTAGAAGAAGAGTTTGAGGAAGATGTCTATGGTCCCATTTAAAAGAAAAAAACCATCCGAAAATGGCTAGTGAGTAACATTTTAAAGATAGCAAAAAAATTATCATATATATGAAAAACCCACCCTATGGTATTATTTAATCCAACGTATACAATTATATAACCAACAAAAATCTTAGCAAGAGCTATATTATTTTTCTGTAGTTGCTTCCTATATTTAGTTTCTGACATGGTTTTTCCTTTCTTGGTGTGTACAGTGATTTTTTTTTTTTTAAAAAAAACTTTAATTTTTCCCTATGTTCCTTTATATCTCTTTCAGTTATTATTTTGGAAAAAGCTAAGTTATTACTAAATTCAAAACCAGTTTCAGTCAATTCAGTTTCAGTCGATTCTAATTTGTTCTGCTCCTGTGATACCTTTGTTATAGGTACATATGACTCCATTGTACAGTCATATGTTTCCAAATTGTATTGAGATGGAAAGGAGGTCCTCACCAAAACCATTTGAAAAGTCCTCAAATATGGGGACAGGGGCCCTCTCAGCAAACACGTCAGCCTTATTCACCAGAGCTTCCTTTATGGTCTCATATCCTGTTAGCACCACTATTTTCTGGAGTCCTAGTTGGATTTTGAATACAGGTCCATACTGTTTCGATAGCTGTGGGGGTGGGGGAGTTGGAGAGAGATAGCTCTGATCAAAAAACGTGATTTGTAATGTAATGTAAACCGCTTCAAACTCAATTGCAGAAAGTACGAACTTCAGCAACAGAGTGGTCAATGCCTGGAATGCACTACCTGACTCTGTTGTTACCTCCTCGAACCCCCACTCCTTTACCCTTAAACTATACACTACTGATTCCTAAGAGGTCTGTAAGGGGCATGCAAAAGCACACAATTGTGCCTACCGTCCCTGTCCTATTGTCCCCATTTATTCATACCTATTTCCTGTATTCATACTCATGTTTATTCTTATACCTATTATCTTGTGATTGACAAATCAAATAAATAAATAAAATAAATAGAATAGAATAGTTTATAGGCCAAGTGTGATTGGATATGCAAAAAAAATTGTCTCCGGTGCATAAGTTCTTAGTGTACATGAAAAGCAACAAAGTAATATAATCATGATACCAGTAGGAGAAGGTAATATAAAAGATGAAAAGGATCATAGTATTACAGCCCTACTACATGGGTAAATATCTTTAGACATAAGGCAGTACTATGGAACGTATAGGTGGTACTGTGGTAGGTATAGGTGCAGGTTTGGTAGGTAGGTGCAGGGGTGGTAAGTGCAGGAGGCAGGTGGTGAAAGGATGCTTCACTATCTTCAAACTTTTCCCTGCAGTTTTTTCACAGTTTTTTCCCTGCAGTTTTTTCACATCTGTGATAAAAGTTTCCCACTAGCACACATGACACAGAAATGTCTGCTTCCAAAAGATCATTAATTTGGAAAGCAAGATATGGGAGAATGAGGGCAAGAAGATTGTGGAGAATGATTGAGAGGAGATGATGGAAGTAGAATTCTTAGTGAAAAGAGATCTTGGAGTCCTAGTGGACAATGATTTAAATATGAGCCAGCAGTGTACTGCAGCTGCCAAAAAGCCAACACAGTTCTAGGCTGCATAAACAGAGAGATAGAATCAAGATCACATGAAGTGTTAATACCACTTTATAATGCCTTGGTAAGACCACACTTGGCTTACTGCATCCAATTTTGGATGCCACGTTGTAAAAAAGATGTTGAAACTCTAGAAAGAGTGCAGAGAAGAGCAACAAAGGTGATTAGGGGACTGGAGGCTAAAACATATAAGTTGGCTAGAATTTGGTATGTCTAGTTTGATGAAAAGGACTAGGGGTGACATGATAGTAGTGTTCCAATATTTCAGGGGCTGCCACAAAGAAGAGGGAGTCAAGCCAAAGAACTTGAAGGCAGGACAAGAAGCAATGGGTGGAAACTAATCAAGGAGAGAAGCAACCTAGAACTAAGGAGAAATTTCCTGACAGTTAGAACAATTAATTAGTGGAACAACTTGCCTCCAGAAGTTGTAAATGTTCCAATACTGGAGGTTTTTAAGAAGAGATTGGATAACCATTTGT